ATGTATTAAAATAGAAAAGCAACGTTTTTCCGTTTTTGAAAGACTTCCAAAAATGTCTCGAAAAACATGATAGTAGGCCCCCAATCTCCTTTGGTAAGTTTATTAAAACCTGATCTTTTGGAAAAAAGGCATATATTTGCTGAAAGAAGAGGCTTCGGCGCATCTTCCTATGATAAAATCTCAACTTCGAGTTTTCTTCGAAAAAATAGGTTTGCTGAGAGGGGTGTCCCCCTTAATTCTATAAGATCTTGAATTATAAAAGAAATACATGCTGATATTCTTTGTTCTTTTATATCAGTATTTAAATCAAGGTAATATTTTTCCAATTTGGATTTATTTGTGTTCTAAAACAAAGTTGTAAACCCAACAATTGAGTTTACAAAATTTTACATACTTTTTTCTTAATTTTATTATCAAGTTTGTCATCAATAGTACGTAAAAGATTACATAAACATTCAAGACTTGCTTCATTAGTTTTATCACGAAGTAAAAAGTTCAATACAATCATATATGGTAGCATGACTTCACATTTGTACTTGGAATAGCTCACCAATAAAACTGAAATAATTAGAACAACTTTGCATCGGTATGCAACAATTTTTCCTTAGGAATAGATCTAAGAATTTAATTGCAGAAAAAAAACAAATATTGATTCTGATAATAAGGGTGTGAGTGTAAGTGTAGGTAAAAGTATTTGATCAATCACACCTCACCTACACTCACACCATATTATGATAGTTGCCGAAGATTTTATATAAGAATTTCAACACAAATATTCTTTCCTCTTCCTTTTAAGGTCGATTGCGAATATTTCTCGACATTATTCTGAGAAAAAAAGCAAAATAACAAATTTACTATAATTTCTTTTTTTTATTTTATTTAACTTGGGTTGTTTTCTGGACAATCAAAATCGGCCGGTTCCATATGCTAGTTTTGCCTGCAGTGATCTTCAACTTTATCAAGAGATTAATTGCAATAACACTTTAGCCATTTTTTTATATAGAAACACAAAAAATGAGTTAATTTCCTTGTATTTTACTTGTTCTCATATTAATCAGAAATAAGAATTCTATTAACCGATGCGCTGTATGCATTTTTTATATTACCTTTCTGTCAAGATAACTGAAGAAAATCTTTTTAAAACTTTCAATGACATATTATTGACAAATAGTTTTCTAGAAAAATACATTCGAATTAACAAAATTTGACATTCATAAGAAATACTAATGAGTTTTTTTTATGATACTTCTCAACATAAAATTATTAATTAGCTTTGAGCTTAATTGATTCATTATTCAATCAATAATAAATCAATTTCTTTTTGTTACACACTTATGTCATTAAAGGTATTCTCTAGAAATTGGCAAAGTTTCAAGGTACCTGATGATGAGAACACATTTTCCTCCAATTGAATTCCATTTACACATTTCATTGTTTCATGTGACCTTTTTGAAACTGAATAAACTATGGTCTTTCTATTACACATGCCAATTGTATGATGTATTCATTGATTTTTAAAATCAATATGAACTACTTACGCATTTCAATGTCACTGTTACAAAAAAAAACAATTATTCAAGCAAACTATGAATGAAAGCTTCTTTGTTCTTTTCGCTTGTTTTACTAATACACTCGTTTATTGATGTATGCACTTTATCCCTTTCACACTATTCAGACGGTATTAATGAGTTCTTGCTCTCTATCAACCTTCCTTCATTTTTTTTTCAATTTATTATTTAAGAGTCACAACATAGAGGATGATCCATACTTTTTCGTTTATTGTATATTTAATAAACCATACCCGCATTCTTCGAAATAAGACTTTCTGCACATATTTCGATCGACCATCATTGTCGCTTCACCAGCGAAGGTTGTACTGTTCAGTCAGTCATTGAAGCAGTATTATTTGCCGAGTTGATTGATTCGTTATAACCTCTATCACACCGTGCTTTGATTTATATTCTTTTCTCTGTTTTGCTCTCTAAAGCAACATGCTCGGTAAAATAATAGTTTGCTTTTCTTCTGTTGTAATTATATTTTGATTAATCTATCGATGAAAAGATTATTTCCATTATCTCAACTTTTGATTGAACGCTAAACAAAAAAAAACTATGATCTTATCGTTTTCTTATACGATATACGATAGCTTTATTTTTTTTCAGACTCTGTTAGCATGGTAAAGGTGATGTTGGGAAAGGAGATTCTTTTTCAACTTATCAAACATCATTGAAACATGATAAGCATCAAAAAAAGAGTAGGAGATTCACTTCAATCAACAGTGTTCATCATTGTCATCCGCAGTATTATTCACAGTTCATCCGTTCCTTTGCCAATCACTACCATGTAAGACAACTAGAAAATTACGATTTCCATTGTTTGCAGCAGTTTCCCTTGGTTTTGAGTCACACAAATTTTATTTTTATTCAAACGAAACAAATGCCATTCGATATGTATCATTGAGCTTCATCAAATGGGTTAAATTGTGGAGTGAATCGACAGGTAAAAGCTCTTTTTTAGTAGGAGAAAACCAAAGTTTTTGGTTTCATTTGTTTCTGTTAGATCTGACTCCTTTATTTGATATTCAGATTCGCTAACTCGTTCGAGCTAATCCTTTTAGAATAAGCTCAAATCGACTCTTATAACAACATAGAATAACAGTGTACAGATGTACGATGGAAAAGAAAAATCCTTGGCTTATTCGAATAAATTTGGTCTTTTAGATCAACATGGCAGAAAAAAAGGTTTCTGTCAACAGACTCATAGCATTAAGCCAGGAACATGATGAATCGTATCGATCCTTATTAACTGAATACTTAGCGGAAAAAAATGAAAGAAATCTTGAGCCGTTTACTCTCATATGGTGTGATCCATCCATAAACAGTATCAATGATCATCAACAAATTCAACATGAATTACGCCATACAATCAATTATATCAAAATATTCAATAATACCAACGAATGCCAAGTATATGTCAAAGAAACTACAACTGAGAAAGTAAATTGAATATATTGAACTTAGTGAGATCAGATATATCTGTTGCAGATGATTATCATTATTTCGAACGATCCTGACCATCGATTTCTGCACTGTATTCACAACGAGATACAAGTTGTTGCTATCTATATTTATAGCGAAGACAATAAATTAGCAAACGAATACCACAGAGAATATCCAAAGGTAATACTTCAACTCAGTATATACAGCATGACCACGTTATTTTTGATAGTTTTACTTAGCTTGCTGTATTTCTGCAAAACTTCGAGAGTTTGGTGTCTCAATGTGGTTGGATAGAGCATTAATTACTCTATCGAACTATATAGTTTCTATTTTAATTATTTTGTATCTTGACTAAAAATTTAATAAATTTTAAAAAGTAATCGAATAAAGATTTTTGCACTTACCACTTTTGAGATCGTTTTTCGGTTAATTGTCCCAGTAACTGCTAGCTACTTCAGTACTGAAACTTTTTTGTTTTTATATAAATGAATAGAGCATTTGTTTCTCTATCACATTGTGTATTTTTTATTGAACTTATTCTTTATCTTGATAATAAACTTGATGGTTTTCTGAGGCGTTTTGTCGGAATTGCTTTCATACAACTCTTTCTGTTTTTTCTCGAAGAAATTTTAGTTATCTAAGCTTCTGAATCTTTTACTCGTTAATATATGTCTTGATTGAGCATTGATTTCTCTATCGAATCGTATAATTTGAGTCTGATTTAGCTGAGAGCTTTTACATGAAATCTGCATTACACGGTTTATGGCTGCGACGAAAAGTGCTAGGTGACTCAAAATTAAAAAATTAAAATTAAGCGCTCTTCTGAAATACAGAACGGTCTAATTTAGTACTGTATTAAAACATGAGTCACAGGGATCTCTTCAATCTAAGACCACTTTCGTGACAATCAGATCTATTTTCACTGAGATATTCCTCTTCCAGCTAAATAGCAACGTGCAAAAAAAATTTTTGAAAGCTTTTAGAACTTCATTGAAGACTCAGTCAGGACGAAGGATAAATCAAAAAAATACATAGTTCGATAGAGAAATGAATGCTCTATCTAATTGTATAAAAATAAATAGCTTCTCAAATTTAGCAGAAGTACAGTAAACCGAAGAAAACTATCAAAAATAATGTGATCATGCTGTACAAGAGAAAAAAAATTCAGAAGTTTTAGCCTCATGGTTCTGAATTTTTCTGCTAACTAGGGATTAATAGTATACGAATATAATTATGCTTAAATCTTTTCAGATCAAAGGTGTATTGACCGATCCAATAGAATTAGTGAAGAAGATTGATATTGATCAGAAAAAACGACAAAAACTGGAAGATTCAATAGGAAATTTTAGTAGTTTTTTTAATCCAGATGGTCAATCCACCAAAAATCTACAAAGTGAAAACGGAGATTTCCTCTGGCTTCAATTATTTATCGAAAGTTTACTTCGCATGTCTGATGGTGCTCTTCTTCCATCTCGAAACGAGTTTCTTGAATTTATTCGTCAACAATATCATGATAATAATGGTAGACTTCGTATTATCGACGATCTCGAATCAAGTTACCAAGCAAATCAAGCAATAAAATGGTACACTCGTACTTCATTTCTTTATGATATTATGAATAAAGCATTTCGTCAGCAAGATTATGTACTTCTCTTCACGCTTCGCTTTTTCATTCACGATCTATTTTACTCTTTGGCCGAACGAAAGAGATTCGAACAATCTCTTATCACTCTTTATCGTGGTCAAGTTCTTGACGTTACAGAATTAAATAATATAATTGAAAATCAGGGCAATTTCATCTCTATGAACAGTTTTATATCAACAAGTCGAGATCGATTAGTAGCAGCTGGTTTTGCGGCATCATCCGTTGATCCAAATAATGTTCGACATCGTTCAGTTCTGTTTGAAATCAATGTTAATACGACTCGCGATGATGTCAAACCGTTCGCTGATGTAAGTCAGGATAGCCAGTTTTCCGATGAAAATGAAGTATTGTTCATGGCTGGATCAATCTTTCGCATTGTTAATGTTCAAAAGGTTTCTCAAGACGATCCGATTTGGTTGATCAAGTTAGTCTTGTGTGGTGAAGAAGATTATCAATTGAAAGAAGTGTTCACAAGCTTGAAGGCCGAATTAGACGATGAAACTGATATGGGATCTGTAGGGAAAGTTTTATTCGACATGGGCAAAGGCGAACAAGCGGAAATAGCTTTTGAAATTGATAGGCAACACACAAGAATTAGAACCAACGGAGAATTTGGCCATCCTTTAGAAGGATACATTCCAGGACAATATGATTCAGAAACAATGAAAGAAGCACAAGAATTAGCAGCAAAACTCATAGAAAACAATGACGATCGAAGGCTACTTGTATTTTGTTACAATATTATGGGTTCAATCTACAGAAATCATCACCAATATGATAGTGCACTTGAAAATTTTTCAAAAGCACTCGATGTTCTTCTTAACCTTTATGATCAGGATCACCTTGAAATTGCAATGTTTCATGAATTTATTGGTCAAATCTATGAAAAACAAGAAAAAATGCCATCGGCAATAAAATCATGGAAAGAATGTCTTCGAATCAGGCAACATCTTTTGCCAGAAGCACACCCGATAATTGCCTTGACATTTCGTAATATTGGAGACTTGTACAATAATGTGGACGACTTCGATAATGCGCTAGCAATGTATGAAAAGGCACTAAAAATACAATTGCTCTCTTCACCCTCGAATCATCCGTCTATTGCAGAAACATATCAATGTATCGGTTGGGTTTATGAACAAATCAAGGAGTTTCGTTTAGCATTGAAAAACTATACTAGTGCTTTTAAAATTCTACAAGTATCTTGTCCATCAACTGATGCATCACTCCTTCAAATTGAGGAAGACATTGACAATATGAGAAGAGAATTAAATGCAAGTTCTGAGAATCGTTCTCATTAAGCTTGCTGTCAATTTCAATCATCTTTTAAAGTTGATCGTTACTTCAACATTATTATAAATTCCTATATGTTCTATATGTACGCAACCGAACTTTATTTCTTCTCATCATTTTTATATAACGAACTTTCTGAAGTATTAGTAGTTAACCCTTTTAGGAAAAAATAAAATAAAGTTTCATTTTGAAAAAAAAAATCATGCAGTTGAAAAATGACAATAAGAATATAACAACTCAAACCTTAAAAGAAAAGATTTAGTACGTCGAAGGTTTTATTTATCCAAGTACAACAAAGTAAACATGTATGAAAACTCAACGATCTATAAAGTTTATTCTCTTTGGCCATCTGTAGCGACACGCGCTATAAACATCATGAGATTCGTAAAAAACATTTTCATTGGTAATTCAATGCTTTTCTAAATAATTTGCAAAAAAAACATATTGAATAAGGATTGTAGGTGGTGGGTGTGAGTATCGGTGATTTTCTATTCTCTTCACACCCACACTCCACACCCTTGTACGCCGAGATCAGGATCACTTTCGATTGTTTCAAGACAATATTGAATCATATTAACAATCGATTGATATTCTTCACTATAAGAATAATGTTCTCGACAAAAATCATCAAATTGTAAAACACAATAATGAAATGGTATTCGGCCTTCCTTATCAATCATTTGACCCATTTGTTTTTCAATTCATTCGTCGGAGATAAACTAATTAATGTTTGAACAAGTTGATTATGATCACAATTCATTGCAAAAAAATGTAATATTGTTTTACCATCATGATTAATGTCAGAATTTAATTCAAGAGCTAGCATTAATGATGTTTGATATTTATTATCCATTTGAAGAGGATTACATTTGTGATCGAGTAATATTTGTGCCATTTGAAAACAGAATTTTTTAAAATTATTTTCTCCTTTGTCACTTAAACTATTTGATGTTTGATTGCATAGATTCGATGCTAAATAATGAAATGCATTTCGTCCATCAGCATCAACATATGTACAATCAGCCTTATGTTTAACAACAACAAATTCTAATTGTTGTACAGCTAATGATGGATGTGGGTGTGGGTGTGGGTGTGAGTATGGTTCATTTATGAAAGTACACCCACACCAGAGATGAGCACAGGACAAGATTTTTCGTCCTGTCCTGCCCTGTCCTGTTAGCCAGCTCTGTCCTGGCGGGCGGCAGTACAGGACAGAAATCAAAATCGCGTCCTGTCCTGTTTTGTCCTGTTGACAATCTCTGTCCTGGCGGGCGGCAGGACAGGACAAAAATCAAAACCGCGTCCTGTCCTGTTTTTGTCCTGTCCTGCTTTGTCCTGCTGACTTTTTCCGTTCCACCCACTGATAGGAGAATAATGAAAACTTTTTCCTAGTGTTTTTTGCTAATTCATTTTATTTTTTTCGAGAGACAGAGAGTCGATCACGATTTCCTAATCTGTCTATCGTTGATCAGGACTGTGCTGATAAGGAATAAGGAGGGCCCACGCCCTCAAATTTTGAAAAGTACTGCTTTGCTATAGTGAAACTGTGCTAGAACGTTTGTTTTGAAATCTTAATGTAAGAACTTTATCCTGAGGAAGAGTGCAGGGGTGTATACTTAGGATACCCGTACCCTTTTTTATTTGGGCACGTCCCTGTCGTTTATCAAAGCAAATATTGATATCATTCATATTATACCTAATTTATTCTTTACTATTCTCAAATACTGGAAATACACTATATATCATCACTTATTTGATAAGTAGAATAAAATATAGTAAAATATTAATTTTTTATCTTGCTGACACATTCATGACAAGAAAAAAAATAGAAAACAATGACCATGATTCGTTGTAATATAATTATTTTATTTTATACTAGATACTGTCTATGAAAAGTAGCAACAGCATAGACTATTATCACAAAAAACAGCTATTTTCATGAATGAATAAACGTATACTATAAAGATTTAAAAAAAAAAATATATCCTATCATTCTTTGAAATACGCTATATTTAGTTAGTTTTCCTGAATAACCAAAGAATTTTGACAAATTTATTAATGCTGTTGAGAATTCTTTTTTGTAATATTATATTTCTGTTTCGTATTTAGGTAATTGTTCAATTTTGAGAAATATAATATGTTCGACGATGATGAAACTTTACTAAACCCCATGCTGAATATTTATTTTGAGAGTCAGTAAATAGAAACAAATGAAATACAAAGTAAAATAAAAAACGTTCAAGACGAAAAGAACAAAGAACATTTGTTTGGTGTTGCTTTCTCTTCATATTCTAACGTAAAATTTCTGAATCATCAATGACTACATCTAATTGGCGCTTTTTTTTCAACCAATATTTTAATTAGTGTTATGATTCATCCTCATAGCGATACCTATCAATCACCACATACGTCGACTGTTAAAAAGTGACCGGTCGAAAGTGATAGTTGTTTAACAAATACAAATAACAAAAGAACGAGAAAATTCACACGAGAAATTTTTCTGTCCTGTTCCGTCCTGTTGTAATCGTTATCTTTGTCCTGGCGGGCGGCAGGACAGGACAAAAATCAAAATCACGTCCTGTCCTGTTTTGTCCTGTTGGCAATCTCTGTCCTGGCGGGCGGCAGGACAGGACAAAAATCAAGATCGCGTCCTGTCCTGCAGGACAGGACAGGGCAGGACACCAGGACGCCAGGACCGTCCTGTCCTGTGCTCATCTCTGACCCACACCCACACCCATAGTTCGATCTGTAGTGTGTGATGTCATTTATCGATTCATATTGTATCTTGATTGCAACATGTATTTGATCAAAATTTTTTGTCCAATATCAATTTATTATACACAGATTTCT